TGGGGTCTTATGGTATGCCTTCTTAGAAAACTGCTTATCTCTGTGGCATCGAACCTTTTATTAATCCATTACAATTATCCCCAAACAATCAGAGAGTAGAGGTTCTCTTACCTCGTCTGGGGCATTGTTGTCTTGCTGCATAGCTCAATATTTAGCATAATAAAAACATTTCTGCACATTGTACAGTTCATTATTAACTGCATTGTCAAAATATGTGACTTAACGTAAGGACATGATGTAACGATTGTCCAAATTTAAAAAAAATGTCATATACAACACTATAAACTTATCAATTTCTTATGTAAACAATGTTCACACAAACAGAAGATTATCAAAGGTTCATACATGTTGTGGCGTAGATCTACATATGATATAATATCGAACATTGACAAATATCCAAAGTGAAATTAAATTACAATGTTACAATGATCGTGTGCGCTTTCATTCAACATTGTTCAAGGACCTTCACCTAAAAGAAATTACGGGGTGGTCGGGTAACCCAGTGGTTAAAGCGTTCGCTCGTCACGCCGAAGACCCGGGCTCGATTCCTTACATGGGAACAATGTGTGAAGCCCATTTCTGGTGTCCCCCGCCGTGATATTGCTGTAATATTGCTAAAAGCGGCGTAAAACCCAACTCACTCACTCACTCAAAGAAATGACCAAATATCAACCCATCAACCTAAAACAATTACATCATGCCCCCGAAATGGCTAAAATAGCTGCAAAGTTATTATTGTTGACATATATATTTACAAGCATTCACTTCTATATTTTTGCGGATTAACACAAAGTGTGCACTCCAGCTTTTTCGTTTGCAAAGACCTCCATAATCTAAATTATTGAAGTCAACTCTGAAATAATCTATGTTCCATTGACATTATATAGAAAGCTATCACGTTTCAGGGATAGTTGCCAAACTATTGGTACCTAAATGTTTAATGTTTTATTTGTTTGAAAATGTAAAGAGGCAACTTCTACCATACCACCACTGTACATGTAACTGTCACGGTCGCTGTTCCGAGATGCGTCGTAACCCACACAGGGCAACAAAGAAATTGCGGGGCGGTCGGGTAACCCAGTGGTTCAAGCGTTCGCTCGTCACGCCGAAGACCCGGGTTCGATTCCTTACATGGGTACAATGTGTGAAGCCAATTTCTGGTGTCCCCCGCCGTGATATTGCTGTAATATTGCTAAAAGCGGCGTAAAACCCAACACACTCACTCACTCAAAGAAATTACCAAATATGTACAACAATGTTGGCGTATGACATCACTTCCAGTGACCGATTTTTACAAAATGGCGTGTTCACTGTCAACAGTACGCGGGATTTTACGAGGGGTCTTTCGATGATTCAGGGATCGTATATACATAAATATGACGTGTAAGTAATCAGACTCATTCTGACAATCAGTGTACTGTTATTTGTTGTGATATTTTTCATTTAAACCTACGGAAATAGTCAGAAATACCGATAAATACCGATAAATACCGTTGTCTTTGTGCCTGATTTTGCATCAGTCATGGCGTCACACATACATGACGGAAACTTTGACAATTTCTGTTGAAAAGATCAACCATTGCAATGTATCTATTTTTAGTTCCCTAATTCTTCATACGATTCTCTTCCCATGCATATTCTGAAATTGTTCAGCCAATGTATTCAATGAATAGACGAATGGATAGTTCGAAATAGGAGGAAATGCTACACTATGTAGAATCTGAATTTTGCTTTGTTTACATTTCAAACAAGTGTAGTTTTTCGAGCAAAGCGTTCGTTTTCACACCTAAATTATTTTGATTGATTTCATCTAAACGCTTTGTATTGTTGACAAGGACCATTTGTCATTTGATTCCACTCTGTATAAGGAATTCAAGGATGTATGTATCGCAGCTGAGTATGAAATTAACGTGATGTTACAGGCATCGCATAACCGGTATACCTGAAACGTGATTTTCGGTGAGCTGGTTCCCGGCTCCCTATGCGCGTCGTCAACTTGCGCCAAGCTAGGAGCCGGTATAGGCCAAAATTAAAAACACTCAGCGTGTTTTATTTGACGTCACATCCGGTGATTTTCAAAACTGGCTACGCTAATGCCAATACATAAGAGGGACACACCTGTGAAAAGTGTGTCATCTTGCGTTTGCGGTGGTAAACCAAAATCTGGCGGCGGGCAATTTCATAGGGTGGAAACTAGACCAACCAAATCAACTGACAACAGTCTCGCTAATCCTTTGGAGCGCTAAGGCGGACTAAAAGTGGTTCATGGGTTGAATTCTATGTGAAGACAGAAAATATTAAAAAAAATTGCATTTCTGAAATTCGATGATTTTGTTTGCATTTGTAAATTCCCATCAACCTAAAACAATTACATCATGCCCCCGAAATGGCTAAAATAGCTGCAAAGTTATTATTGTTGACATATATATTTACAAGCATTCACTTCTATATTTTTGCGGATTAACACAAAGTGTGCACTCCAGCTTTTTCGTTTGCAAAGACCTCCATAATCTAAATTATTGAAGTCAACTCTGAAATAATCTATGTTCCATTGACATTATATAGAAAGTTATCACGTTTCAGGGATAGTTGCCAAACTATTGGTACCTAAATGTTTAATGTTTTATTTGTTTTAAAATGAAAAGAGGCAACTTCTACCATACCACCACTGTACATGTAACTGTCACGGTCGCTGTTCCGAGATGCGTCGTAACCCACACAGGGCAACAAAGTCCTAAGAACAGTTAACGTAAATATTATATAAAAAGTAGGCTGCAATCGTTTGATTTATGATTGATTGAGTGATCTTTGAAGATTTTATAGATTTTCGGGCAACTAGGTCCATTTAAACCTTGTCCAGAATGACGGCTTACAAAATTCTTAAAAATGTTATGAAGTAGAGAACCTACCACAGACTTTCCCCTTGGATGATAAAGCGACATATATGTCCCTCCTCTTCAACCCTCACTTTGAGGTCGAATAAAATTCAAACTGCACCACGCACCTAAGAGACACTTCACAGTTTTGAATACTATGGGAAATTCCCTGTTTGGTCATGTCATCCACTGTCATTTTGGGCCAAGCAAAATTACTGAAAATGACCTCTGAAAAATAGGTACAAAGTAAATGTCGCCATTTTTTACACATTACTAAATTACCACTCACGGCGTTATTTACAGCATGTTTTGAAATAATAATTTCGGCTATTTACTCGGAGAAATGAATTTCAAAAAACGGGTATCAGTCTTTGATCAAATCCTTAATGATCATTCCAAAATGTCGCCGATAGCCCTAGAATCGTTTAGAATGTCTTGGAAAATACGCAAAGACAAACGCGAAGTGAACTTTCCGCCATATTGGATCAGTGTTTACAAAATCACGTTTCACGTTTACCGGTTATGCGATGGATGTAACATCACGTTAATTTCATACTCAGCTGCGATGCATACATCATTGAATTCATACGCAGATCTAGGCCACAACGTTGAGTCAAATATAGTATTATTTGTAACACTTTGAAAAGGAATGTCACCTTCATACTGCTGTCCTCATCTACAACGTTGTACAAAGTTAGAAGTGATGACTGGCATGGGTGAATGAATAGAAACCATCCATTTTGATTCTGCCCATTTGTTGAGTAACGGACATTGAGTTATTTCGTTGGTATTAATAATTGTATTGCATTTGAATGTTGTTTAAAAAAATATTGCTAGAAAATATCAACATCGGCCATGGTTTAAATCTATTCTATTTCAATTTCAATGTTTTCAACAGAGGTTTCATCATTTTAAACCTAATCATCCAATAAATATATTGCAACCACATACGAGTCGTACAACACATTTCTATTTTTTCAGAAGTCACATCATATATATCACGAGTCATTCCTTAAATGGAACACCAACCCACTTTAAACATAAACATTTTTTACGTCATGGAATGGAATGCGACATTTAAATTGTATGCGTGGCTCTACATATGTCGACATATATAAACTTCCTACATGAGTATCTCGATCAGATACCTGAGAGTATTTTATTTGCTCAAAGTTTTCTGGAAAGGGTATAATAAATATTTTTTCTCGCATAGCACAATTTTGGTGTGCATTCGAAAACCTGCGAAATGTCCATGCAAAGAATACGCAAGCAAGACTATGTTTACTATCATTTCTCTGACATATTGATATCATTTACGTAAAATGTATGAAGACAATAATTTTGGAAATTTAACTTCGTACAATTTAGCACAATTTAAAGATCTTTCCTGCCCCAGATGGTGGCACATCTAACAAAATGACTTAAAGTAGTTTGTGACGTTTCTCAGTAAAGCTTTTGTAGAACGGTAACAATGAAAAATTACATAACATAGTGTATGTTAAATATTTCGAAGGCGCTCACAGCCATCGTCTCATTGGCCTGTACCGGCTCGTATATTGTGATATTAGAGACGGGGCCCAGCTTACTGTACCAGCTCCTATCTTTGCGCAAGTTGAGGGCGCGCAAAAGGAGCCGGGAACCAGCTTAAGACGGGACCAGGTAATAACATAACATCATTCTTCCAACTTTTTCAGTTTGTAGAAAGTATTGTAACATAAAAGTAGGTATGTTACCTGATCTGATTTGTTAAAAAGTGTTGTCGAGTGAGCATAACATCGCTGAATTTTTGGGGTCTCATCACCGTGTATGTATACATTAATAAATGGAACTATTTTTGAAATCATCAACATGGAGGAACAGATGGAAATTTACCCTGACTTCCACATCGGAGATATTGATGAAATATTGAGTGAATTGGACGACGAGACATTTTCTGAGATAATTCAAGAATTTGAAGGTAAATGAAATTTACCTTTTTCCATTAATTACACAATCATAATCATAATTGATGTTATTTTCTTGGGCTTCGCCGAAGAAAAAAACAAAACAAAATAAATTTTTAACAGAGTAAAAAACATTTATTGACTTTCATAGACCCACCTAATTTTGTTATTATTATTACTCACAACAGCTGTTGAAGCTGAAAACCGTTCTGAGATGGCCCCTGAACTAGGAAATACAGACAGCGTTTCCGTAGAGCCAAAAGTTCAAGCGTCCAGTGACCGCTTCGCGTCCCTTGATGCAAAAGCAGTACAGGACATCGTGGATGGGAACCTCTCCAAATCTACTGGGCGTAATACCTCCTGGGGAGTTAAAATATTTCGACGTAAGCCATTGAAACATAAAATACATAAACACATACCATAAATTCCTACGCAGATTCGATCAACATCAGCGAGAGTTACCTCCCTTACACCATTGCCACGATAGCAATGTAAAGCGTGAACAATGTGTCATCGGAAAAAATGGCAATAATATAACGAGATTGACCAAAATTTTAACGTAAATTAAATATTTCGTTTTGTAGGAAATTGAGATATGTTATGCTAAATGGATATACGGAAATTTCATTTAAATACAATGCCGTAATAATAACAAATTACTCCCACTTACTGTCACATTTGTACCCTAAACAAGGCAATCGTTTCACTTCCAGAATGGTTTGGTTTCCGAGGTTTTGAACCCAAGTTCGAAGAGCTTCCTGCTTTTCAACTGAATGAGAGACCGGGGTTCTTTTATGCCGAAGTCAGAAATGCTGAGGGAGATCTTTAATCAAAATCGAGTTTTGTTGGGTTGCGTGCTGCCATACACGCACATCATGGGACCGCCATTTGAATGCAGCATAAACATTATCCAAGACCGGGAATTTCACACTGCAAACAATGTTTTTCCGTCCATGATAAAAAAACAAACTTAAGCGCGATGGCCTTGACCAGACAACACATCATGCTGCTATCCCCGAGAATGATTTAAAAAAAAATTCGTGAAAAGTTTGGATACTGAAACTCCTTCCGGCTTGCTTCGTAAAGTGTGGTTCGACCTTACACTCGGTTTCGCTCGTCGTGGTAAAGAAAACCAAAGGGAATTAACTGCATCTTCCTTTCGTGTAATCCACTGATGAACAGAGGTTCGAGTTTATTGAAATGACACACTCCGAAGTCACTAAAAATCACAGGGGGGGGGGCTCAAAGACTCAAATGGGCTCAACAAACGCATTTATGCAACATCGAACGACAGTTTTGTTGTGTCATGCGCTCAGTAAATTATCTATCGACATTGTAACATGAACGTTAATTAAATCGATATTTAGGAGGAACTAATTTACAGAGCGCATGACACAACAAAACTGTCGTTAGCAATACGTCTCCTCGTGCTCACCTTCGAAAGGATGCATGATATGGGGTACCGCGAAACCGATCGACGGTTTCGAGGTACTCCAATAATGATGGTTCATTTTACGAAAGGGGTGGCCACATGTTCAAGCCCATTTCTCAGAAAATAAACAAACAACAGGAAATATCACAAATTCAATTCTTTATCACAGTTCCTCATCTTACTTGTAATTTGTAGTTATGCGTATCTATAAAATACAAATAATCAAAATTAGAAAAGCCGTTCATACTGTTTGGCCCCTATACATGAAAGTGTCAACTCGCTGAGGTAGTGTCAAGAGAGGTCAAACATGTGCGAGATTTTAGATATGAAGCTTAGCTGGGATGGAAAAAGTTGTTTACTGTCACAGTGGAATTACATATGTGAAAGAGACCATGGGAATTAGCAGAAGAATTAACCTGGAAGTTATTCACGGGAGCAGTGGACAGTGGCAGGATATTTGTATCTTGGACAGGTACCAAATTACGTTCGTTAACGAGCTGCTGCTGTCCCTGAAGAATGTTCGAATAATGTCGTTTTTGAGCCGAGCTCGAGTCAATGGAATACGACTTCAACGATTCATCGGTTTTGTAGCCGGTAATTTTGCAAATCTCGCGATTTTAATACCTGCGTTGGACAGCAAAGTGACGGCAGTTGCCTGAAGACAATGGTTTGTATACACTTAGAGACCAGCGTTGGTAGAAATTTCTTTCATCATGTTGCCAATGACATTTACACCAACTGGCCTCGTGGTGTACCATTCAGTGTCGTCGACGTGGACTCGTCTCTTAGGATCCTGGTAAAAAGCACCATTGTTGGGATTGAGGAGAGACATGTATTTTTTTAATGAAAGTACAGGACAGAATTGGTCCGATGTTGGGCCCATTTGAGTCTTTGAGGTCCCCCCTGTGATTTTTTGTGACTTCGGAGTGTATCATTTCAATGAACTCAAACCCCTGTTCATCGGTGGATACACGAAAGAAAGATGCAGTTAATTCCCTTGTGTAAGATCGAACCACACTTTACGAAGCAAGCCGGAAGGGGTTTCCGTATCCAAACTTTCACGAATTTTTTTAAATCATTCTCGGGGATAGCAGCATGATGTGTTGTCTGGTTAAGGCCATCGCGCTTGAGTTTTTTTATCATGGACAGAAAAATGTGCCTGTGTATGCCAGCACGCAACCCAACAAAACTCGATTTTGAGTAAAGATCTCCCTCAGCATTTCTGACTTCGGCATAAAAGAACCTCAGTCTCTCATTCAGTTGAGAAGCAGGAAGCTCTTCGAACTTGGGTTCAAAACCTCGGAAACCAAGCCATTCTGGGAGTGAAAAAGATTGCCTTGTTCAGGGTACAAATGTGACAGTAAGTGGGAGTAATTTGTTATTAGTCCTATTACGGCGTCGTGTTTAAATGAAATTTCCATATATCCATTTAGCATGACATATCTCAAATCTTACAAAACGAAATATTTAATTTACGTTAAGATTTTGGTCAATCTCGTTATATTATTGCCAATTTTTCCGATGACACATTGGTCATGCTTTACATTGCTATCATGGCAATGGTGTAAGGGAGGTAAGTCTCGCTGATGTTGATCGAATCTGCGTAGGAATTTTAGGTATGTGTTTATGTATTCTTTTATGTTTCAATGGCTTATGTCGAAATATTTTAACTCCCCAGGAGGTATTACGCCCAGTAGATTTGGAGAGGTTCCCATCCACGATGTCCTTTACTGCATTTGCATGAAGTGACGCGAAGCGGTCACTGGACGCTTGAACTTTTGGCTCTACGGAAACGCTGGCTGTATTTCCTAGTTCAGGGGCTATCTCAGAACGGTTTTCAGCTTCAACAGCTGTTGTGAGTAATAATAATAACAAAATTAGGTGGGTCTATGAAAGTCAATAAATGTTTTTTACTCTGTTAAAAAAATATTTTCTTTTCTTTTCCCTTTGGCCAAGCCCAAGAAAATTACATCATTTATCATTATGATTGTGTAATTAATGAAAATAGGTAAATTTCAATTAACCTTCAAATTCTTGAATTATCTCAGAAAATGTCTCGTCGTCCCATTCACTCAATATTTCATCAATATCTCCGATGTGGAAGTCAGGGTAAATTTCTATCTGTTCCTCCATGTTGATGATTTCAAAAATAGTTCCATTAATTAATGTATACAAACACGGTGATGAGACCCCTAAAATTCAGCGATGTTATGCTCATTCGACAACACTTTTTAACCAATCAGATCAGAGAACATACCTACTTTTTGATCGGTTTCGCAGCACCCCATATCATGCATCTTTTCGAAGGTGAGCACGAGGAGGCGTATTGCTAACGACAGTTTTGTTGTGTCATGCGCTCTGTAAATTATTTCCTCCTTAATATCGATTTTAATTAACGTTCATGTTACAATGTCGATAAATACCTCGTTTTGTAAGATTTGCGTGATGTTCCACGGAGTGTTCAAATGAAAAATTTCCGTACATCCATTCAGCATAAAATCACGCAAATCTTACAAAACGAAATATTTATCTCCTTAATAATCAGTGTCTTAGTGTAAAAAGAACTGCTAACAGCTTCAGTAGCACTCTCCTACCCAGAGTTCCATGCGGCCGGCAGCCAGCTAGCATAGTACCTCTGCCACAGGCCAGCGCCATGTGACGATTCGTCACATCTTTCACAGTCCATTCAAGATATTGCATATGCTTTTCATCCGTTTCATGTTTGACAACTCTACACATTTTCATACACAAATGTCAAAGAATGGTTAACTTTCATTGAGAAAGTATGCAAATACGTAAAAATCTACTTGTTTTTGCGTAGTTATCCTATGTTTACATTGGTTGTACGGCTCCACGTGCTGTCATCGAAGCCCAACGGAGAGCTAGCGACACGGTCACTTTGATGCATAAATATATATTGTCATGCAACTCACTGTCGCAGTTGTAGTAGCATATCTATATAGTTATGCAAAACAATATGTAAAGCGCCCCCAAATACTTGCATTAGTCCGTTCTATACTGCTTTCTGAAAAAGCGCGTTTGTTTACAAACAAGAGAAAAGTCCGGTCAAGTGATATGCAAATTAGCCTACAGTGGCAGTGGTGTTATGCTGAGTCAACACTGCGACGGAGTGTGCTTCAGTAGCAGAACCATTAGTGATGTCATTTGATTGTGACGTCATGGTAACAATGACGTCACAATTGTCTGCAAAGGATTGTGATGCAATTTCATTGCTGCGATATCTACAGTATAGATATCGCTTGTTCTTACACACCTGTGGGTGAGAAACCCATTTGAGATAACTGCTATCAAAACATGTGTGAGATCGAATTCCAGGCCCGTGATTGGCTACTCCATGGTGATGACCTGGGGTCAGATAATGAGGGACTACTTTCCTGAGTGTAAGTCATTCATAAGTTTCTCGTGCTTCAGTCGAATGTTCACCTACGTCTGTATTGAACAACAGGACCGTGTAATTAAAATAATAAAAATAAACAAACTCGTCCTCGTCTGCGAGTTTGTTTGTTATTATTATCAGTTACATTATCTGTTATGTCAACATTATCGTTTTTTCGAGTGTAAACCCCCTGGATGCCACAGCGACACATAGATCTCCCTCCTCCTCAACCCTCACTTCGAAATCGAATGAAATTCAAAATACATCACGCAAACTAAATACACTTCACAGTTTTGAATTCCCCCTTCTGTTCATCATTTACTGTCATTTTAGGCAATTCAAAATTACTGAAAATTAGGTACATTGTTAATCTCGCCAAATCACGGCGTTATATCTAAATATCGGATATTTACTCGAATAATTAAAGTAGAAAAATAGTATATTAGCGATCAGGGGTATCAAATCACTAATGACAATTCTGAAACGTCGCTGATAAGCCTAGAATCGTTTAGAATATTTTGGAAAATACGCATACACGAACGCAGAAGTGTACGTTCCGCCATATTGGATTGTGTTTACAAAATGCCGGTTATGAGACGCCTATTCGATCAGGTATATTTCAAACTCAGCTGCTATACATGCATCCCTGAATTCCTCATACATTTTCGAAACAATGGATAAATTGTCTTTTTTCACCAATGCAAATTATCTAAATGAAATCATGCGAAATAAATTAGGTATGGAAACGAAAACTGTGCTCGGAAAACTGTACTTGCTGAAATGTCAACAAAGCAAAATTCAGATTTTACACTGTGTAGCATTTTTAGAGGTACTTTCGTCTAATTGTTGCATACATTGGCTCGATCACGCGTTTGAGAATATTCATGGGAAGAGTACCGTTGCTCTAATTATGGAATTACACATATATACATTACAATGATGTGGTAAATTCAACAGAAGCCGTAAAAGTTTCAGTCCTGTGTGACCCCATGACTGATGCTAAATCACGCACAACGATGACGGTAGTTATCTGCATTTCTGACTAATTCTCTTTGTTACATTGGCAAACATGGTAAACAAATAACAGTGCGCAAATTGTCATAATGTTTCTGATTACTTACGTAACACATTTATGTGTATACGATCCCTCAATCAACGAAAATCCTCCTCTGGAAATCCTACGTACTGTTGTCAGTGAACACGCAAGTAGGTCACCGGTAGTGATGTCATACGGAAGTAAACATTGTTGTACATATTTGGTAATTTCTTTGGGGTGTAAACTTTCAACTTGGCACCCAGCGTGTTCTTTGTTTTTGTCTAGTTTGCATTTTCATCATCGCCTTGATAATCCACAGATATGACGGAAACCTTTATGTGTAGGGTCACATTATTTATGAGTAGTAAGCAGCACATAGGGTGACGTCACTTATCACA